CAGCCACTCCATGTGTCCCTTTCACGTCGATGTTTCTCTCTCCCTCCCACTCTATCTGAACAAAAATAGAAAAATGTCCTCAGGTGAGGATTAAAAACACAAAAACAAAAAAATAACTATATCCTAATGAGTTCCATACTTATATGTCTATTCTTAACCTATGTCCTGAGGTCCGGAATGGTAAATTTATCTGCCTTTGTGATCTCCCCTCTTGGATTTTTGTTTGGTAATCCTCACCCAAGGATATATTTTTCCACTGATTTTTAGATAGATTGGATGGGAAGGAGGGGTAGAGAGAGAGAGAAATATCAAACATGTCAATTGGTTGCCTCCCGCTCAACCCTGACCAGGGCTGGGGATCAACCTGGAACCTAGGCACGTGCCTTTGACTGGGAATCGAACCCATGACCCTTCAGTCCTTGGGCTAACACTCTAACCACTGAGCCACACTGGCCAGGGCTCTTCTGGATTTTTTTATTTTTTTATTTATTTATTTTTTAGCCTCACCCAAGGACATTTTTCCATTTTTTGTTCAGATAGAGCGGGAGGGAGAGAGAGGAAGAGAGAGAGAGAGAGAAACATCGATGTGAAGGGACACATTGAGCGGCCACCACCCGCACGACCAATCAGGGCCGGGGACAAACTGCAACCGAGGTACGTGCCCTTAGCGGGAACCGAACCCGGGTCTCTCTGTACCGCAGGCCGACGCTCCAACCGCTGAGCCAAACCGGCCAGGGCTCTTCTGGATTTTTTTAAAAAATATTTTTTCTTTACTGATTTAGAGAGAGAGATAGAAACATCAATGAGAGAGAACATCGATTGGCCGCCTCCTGCATGCCCCTACTGGGCATATGCCCTGACCAGGAATAGAACCAGAGACCTCTTGGTGCATGGGTAGACGCTCAACCAGTGATCCACACTAGCTGGGCTCTTCCTGGATTTTTTTTTTAATCCTCACCCGAGGACACTTTTCCATTTTTTGTTCAGATAGAGTGGGAGGGAGAGAGAGGAACAGAGAGAGAGAGAGAAACATCGATGTGAAAGGAACACATCGAGTGGCTGCCACCCGCACGACCGACCAGGGCCGGGGACAAACTGCAACCGAGGTACGCGCCCTTAGCAGGAACCAAACCCGGGTCTCTCAGGACCGCAGGCCGACGCTCTAACCACTGAGCCAAACCGGCCGGGCTCTTCCTGGATTTTTAACAAGCATTTATAACCAATTATGCCCAAAATAGTATTTTTCTCCACTTGGTCTTCTCAGACTTGGTAAAGGGTATACTCACCCCACTTAGCTGTTAAAGACAAAACCCAGACATTTGCTTAATTCCTCTCTTTTTTCCATCTTCCACATCCAAATCAACAGCAGTTCTACTAGTTCTTCCTAAAAAACATCTCTCATATTAACTATCCCTCTCCATTTCTGTTGCCATAACTTTGGCCCAAGCAGTCTTGCTTAGATTTCTCCCATAGCCTCATAACTGGTCTTCCTGCTTCTACTCTTAACTTCTCTATGGTTCATTCTCTTTGAAAATTACATATCAGATAATGCCATCTCCTTGTTTAAAACCCTTTAATGGTGTCACACTGCCCTTAGAGGAAAATCTAAATTCCTTACCATGACCTACAAGTCCCTATAATCAAACCTTTCTCTCTGACCTTATCTTGAATTATTCCTCTCTCCCACCATTCCAGCCTTACATGTGCATTTATTCAACAAAAATTTCTTATGTACTTACTTTGTTACAGATACCTAGTTAGGCAGTGGGCAATACAAATATGACACGTGACTTTCAAAAGCTTGGTGAAACAGACATATGAACCGATAAATTAAAACACTTTTGCTGAGTTAAGAGCAAGGTGGGATAGGAGTACAAAGGACAGAGCTAAAATCTACCTACAGGAATCAGAGAAGGCTTTATCAAAGAAGGATGGATTACTGGCATGCATGCGAAAGATGGCTAATTGTAGATAAGAGTGCATGTAGTTTATGACCTTGGAATAGAAGAAAGCTATCAGGACCATACAGGACTCTCTAATCCCCAAATATAGACAATTTTATCTAGAGGTGAGTAAAGAATTCTAAACCAGCAGCTTGATCAACTATAGGCCACAGAGTAGCACCAGCAGAAAAATGCCCTTGTCAAGTCATTACAGAGATCAGAGATGATTAAAATACAAATGGATATTTATGTGTTTATTTTTATCGTTGAAAATATTACAGAAGTCCTCCTTTTTTCCCCATTGACCCTCCTTCCCACTTCCATCCCCCTGCTGCTTTCCCTAGTCTAACGTCCATGTCCATCAGTTGTGTATACATGAATATAAGTTCTTTGGTTTATCTCTTCCACCCCTCCCACCCCACTACAAATGGATACAAATGGATCAATATTCATTCATTCATTCAACAATTTTTTGAGTTTCTACTACATATTAAAAACTATCTGAAGAGCTGGGTATATAACAATAAATAAAACCAAATCTCTGCCTTCATGGAGCTTACTACATATGTCATTTCAGTGCCAGACTTAAACAATAAACAAATATATTATGTAATGTTAGATAAGAGCTATGATGAAAAATAAATCAAGATAAGAAGTAGAGAGCCCTGGCCAGTTTGGCTCAGCGGTAGAGCGACAGCCTGCGGATCAAGTTGCGGGTTTGGTTCTGGTCAAGGGCATGTACCTCGGTTGTGGTTAGGTGCCCTTGTCGGGGTCGTGCGGGAGGCAACCAGTCAATGTCTCTCTCTCTCTGAAGATAAATGGAAAAAAGTATCCTCAGGTGAGGATTTAAAAAAAAAAAAGAAGTTGAGAGTGTTGGGGTTATTATTTAAGATAGGAGAATAAGTAAAAGTTCGACTGAGAAAAGGAAAATTTGAGCAGAAGCCTGAATGAGAGAGGCAATTTAGACATTACTTGGATCAGTTATTCAACTTCACAGATTAGGAAAACACATTTTCAGACATTGCTGACTTCACCAAACTGGCCCTTTACTAAAGTGATGATTAACTGACCCTTTCCATTTATTTTATCTTGATTATTTGACCATGTGTAAATTGGTCCCATGATTAGGTGGGTTAAGATTCAGACTACATATAATTTCTCTACTAATCATTAACTAATCCTGGGTTTAGTTATTAACCAAAGGTCTGCTCTTTGTCTTATTCATGTGACCTTGTTTACATTTCTCTTCCAGCCTCAGCTGGATTTTATCTCCCCATAACGTTAAATAGTATCTAAAATATGATGTTTCACCCAAGCAGCTAAAAGCAGGATGAAGCCAAAACCTCAATTCCCCTTCCTCTATCTCCAGAGTTAGGATTGAAGAGTAAAACCAAAGAAAGATTAAATCTACTATCTTCAGCCCTGGCTGGTTTGGCTCAGCCTGCGGTCCAGAGAGACCCGGGTTCGGTCCCCACTAAGGGTACATACCTCAGTTGCAGTTTGTCCCCGGCCGTGGTCGGTCGTGCGGTTGGCAGCCACTCGATGTGTCCCTTTCACGTCAATGTCTCTGTCTCTGTCTCTGTCTCTGTCTCTGTCTCTGTCTCTCTCTCTCCCCCTCTCTCTCCCTCACTCTCTCCCTCCCACTCTATTGAACAAAAAAAAAAAAAAAAAGGAAAAAAATGTCCTCGGGTGAGGATAAAAAAAATCTATCTTCAGTCAGAAAATGACTAAGACTCCTCTTCATGTTTAGGGAAGGGAAACTTTCCTAAGAATGAGAAGTAAGAGTAGAAGGAGAATAGTGATAAAATCTTAAGAAACATGCCAAGATAGGAATCCCACGAGACTATGAAATAAACTCAGTGGAGAACTGAGAGTGGAAGAAAAAAACCAAAGCTTTTACAATTTAAGAATTCTTTCAAATGGTTGTCCTGCCCTCTCTCTCTATTCTTGTACATTCCTATTGTTCCTGACCAAGTCAATGGTATGCCAACATACAATGCATCAAGAAAAGAAAAATGTGCTCGCTTTGGCAACACATATACTAAAATTGGAACAATACAGAGAAGATTAGCATGGCCCCTGCGCAAGGATGACACACAAATTCATGAAGCGTTCCATATTTTTATATCTTTAAAAAAAGAAAAGAAAAATATTTTTCTAAAATTCAAGCAACCAATTATGAACACTAAATGAAAACACACACACACACACACACACACACATTACGCCCTGGCTGCTATATCTCAGTGGTTAGAGCATCAGTCCACAGACCAAAGGATTGTGGGTTCAATTCCCAGCCCTGGTCAGGGTGCATGCCAGAGGCAACCAATCAATGTGTCTCTTTCACATCGATGTTCTCTCTCTCCCTCTCTCCCACCCTCTCTAAAAATAATACAAAAAATGAAAAAAATATATCCTTGGGTGAGGATTAACAACAAAAAATTATATTATATTACACACACACACACACACACACACACGTATTACCAAGAAAGGATACTGAAAAGTAAGAATGGAATCAAGAAATCCTTTCTTGAACTTAGATCTATAAGCAAAAGATGATAAAGCTCCCTAGAACCTTCTTGACTCTTAAAAGTTACTCAATAGAACTAGGAAGTACAAGGCAAGATGTCAGTTACATAGTGGCTTTAACAGCCTTTCACAGATTCTGGGTCAATGAAAAGTTAACTGTTAAGATTTATATCATCAGTGAAGAAAGCAAACAGAGCATCCAATTTCTGTCCATTGTGCACAAATGCAGTCTAAAGAGAACCTTTGAGCTAGGCCGCTGTGGCTCAGTGGTTGAGTGTCGACCCACACACCAAGAGGTCACCAGTTTGATTCCCAGTCAGGGCACATGCCCCGGTTGTGAGCCAAATCCCCAGTGGGGTGTGCAGGAGGCAGCCAATCAATGTTCTCTCTCATCAATGTTTCTATCTCTCTCTCTAAAGTCAATAAAGATTAAAAAACATTTTTTTAAAGAGAACCTTTGATTTAAAAAAAGATGCAATTAGAACTTGCCTGGAGAATCCATTTTTTCACTTTTGTTTCTCATACCTGAGAGATGTGACTAAAATGTGTCAAAGCTGTCTCCACAGGGCTTTTAAAGTACATCTTCACATTAGGTTTCAGCTACGAAGAGAGTAACACAAACACTGAGCATATCCACAATGGATTGAAATAGAATACTGGCAAATATGGAAAGGTTGTACCACCCCTTCTGAAGCACCTAGTATTATTTCATTGTGCTAAACAAGAGGGCGATCACCACTGCTAGATGCAGACTATTACATCCTAATGATCCTTACCCCGTGCAGCCACAAATAAGTCTATCTGTTTTTACCCTATTGTTTTTACAATTGCTACCGGTGAGTTTTGTTTTTCTTTCTTTCTTTCTAAATATCACTGCTTAGTCACTCAACTACACAATTTGTATACTTCTTACAGGCCAGGAGTGGGATAAAACGGTCTGTGGGAGGGGAAGAAAAACTTACATTATCAGAAAGAACCAGATGTTTGCAGGCAGCTCCACAGACAGAACATTTTTCTAGGAAGGAAAGAAGAAATAAATGTTTGGTTTTTATGGACATGAGGTAAGATTTTCCTAAAGTACATGGTAACAGTCAAGTAGGCTATTAAGAGAAGAAAAAATTTAGAATACTATTTGCTATAAAAGGACATCAACTTGAGCTCTGTTCTCTCTATCGGTATTTCCAAACTTGCATTTTTTTTTATTTTTTTTTTTGGTATGTGCCCCTAGCAGGAACCAAACCTGGGACTCTCCAGTCCACAGGTCGACAATCTAACCTCTGAGCCAAACCGGCCAGGGCTCCAAACTTGCATTTGGATGACAAGCAAGACATTCACGCTATACCTCTACCCATCTCCCTCTTTACAAATTCCCAATTTTCTTCTGTGGGTGAGGGACAGTTCTAGCGCCCTAGCAGGAGTTCTGAAGTACATTTACAAGAGTACTGGGAAGAAGGCAAGAGTACCAATGATCTCAGCTTTTAGTTACTCTTTATTATCCCACCTACCTAACAGTAGGCGCACATCCGATACTGTAAGAAACACCTCAGTTATTCCTGCCCTGTTCTCACTTCGCTAACATTCCTTGATCTTGTTTTGAAGCTCTCCTACTCTTATTCTCTAATTAACCCATTCTGAAAGGAGAGAACATTAAAATTCCTAATCTTTCCTTATAAGTTGAAATTTTAGTGGTAGTGCCGGTTATTGGTTAAGATAAATGCCATGTCAGGAGAAAACATCACAATGGCATATGCTTCACTGAGACAAACCACTCCAAATAAGCTGCTATTACCATAGTCAACAGCTTTATTACATTAGCAGATAATTTAAAAGGGTCATGAGATTCATATAGAGCAGCAATTTTCAACCTTTTTCATCTCAGGGCACACATAAACTAATTACTAAAATTGTGCAGCACACCAAAAAATATATTTTTTTGCAGATTGGACAAAAAATTGGTATAATTTTGATTCATTCACACCGGGTGGCTATTGTTGTGTTGGCTGTTGTCATTTTTTTTATTTTACAGTCTAAGTGAAAAGAGGTCAGTGCCCCTGACTAAACAGTCAGGTATTGCAGGTTTTTAAAATTCTTGCAGCATGTCAGTGTGCCGAGGCACACCAGTTGAAAATCGCTGATATACAGAAAAAGCTTCTCCAGAGGCTATGTAACCTGACTTTTCTTTCCTTGGGGTTAAAGGTTTTTCCTTTTTCCCTGTCTTCTCTCCATATTATTGCTAAAGTGAAGCAGCAAGTACAAATCATTCTTCTATTTAAGAAAAACACAAAACACACCCTGGCCAGTTTGGCTCAGCAGTTAGAGCGTCAGTCTGAGGTTCAGAGAGACCCGGGTTCAGTTCCCGCTAGGGGCATGTGCCTTGGTTGCAGTTTGTCCCCGGCCCTGGTTGGGTCGTACGGATGGCAACCACTTGATGTGTCCCTTTCACATTGATGTTTCTCTCTCTCTCTCCCTCCCACTCTATCTGAGCAAAAAAATGGAAAAGTGTCCTCAGGTGAGGGTGAGGATTAAAAAAAAAGAAAGAAGAAAAGAAAAACACAAAACAAACTTCCACAGCTCTCCATCACCTGCAGGATAAACTTCAGGTTCTTTAGCTCAGACTATAGAGCCTTCCATTATCTGGCCACTGCCTCTCTGTCTAGCCTCACCTATCACCAATCTTACCTTATTTTTATGCTCTACAAATCTCAACCATGTGTAGTCCCCTGCACTATGCTTTTATGATGTGGTATGTCTTTATACATATTCTCTTGAACTAGAATAATCTTCCCCGCCTATCCACTTGGCAAACTCCAGTTTATTATTTAAAACTCTACTAAAACAATACCTCTTCTATAAAATTTTTCCTGAGCCCGGCTGGTGTGGCTCAGTGGTTGAGCGTTGACCCATGCACCAAGAGGTCACCAGTTCTATTCCCAGTCACAGCACATGCCCAGGTTGTGGGCCAAATCCCCAGAGGGGAGCATGCAGGAGGCGGCCAATCCATGCTCTCTCTCATCGATGTTTCTATCTCTCTCTCCCTCTCCCTTCCTCTCTCTAAAATCAATAAAGAAAAAAAAAATTTAGTAAATAAATAAAATCTTGCCCTGGCCGGTTTGGCTCTGCGGTTAGAGCGTTGGCCTGCAGTCCAGAGAGACCCAGGTTCGGTTCCTGCTAAGGGCATGAACCTCGGTTGTGGTTTGTCCCCGACCCTGGTTGGGTCGTGCGGGTGGCAGCCACTCGATGTGTACCTTTCATGTCGGATGTTTCTCTCTCTCTCTCCCTCCAGCTCTATCTTAACAAAAAATGGAGAAGTGTCCTCGGGTGAGGATAAAAATTAATAAAATCTTTCCTGATTCAAGTACCCTATCCTAAGTCCCTCTTTGGGGCTACTTCCATACATTTGTAAGTATTTTAGCATCAAAACAAACAAAAACAACCACATACACACTGTAAATTCAAGTCTCATTTCTAAGACTCAATAGCTGCAAGAATTTGGTCAAATCATTTATTGCAAGAATTTGGTCAAATCCTCATTTGTAAAGTGGGTCTATTAATAATTACCTTGTGAACGAAAAGGTGCCACATGCTAACCTGACAAACTCAGGGGAGACATTGGTGGCCTTGCAAACCTACAGGCCTAAAGTAACCACAAAGGATGGTCTGAAATTAAAACTTTTTAAGTAAAAGCAGTTTATGGCAGGTAGTCATGTCCTAGACGAGAATATTCCCTGACAAAAGTCAATCTTCACAGTAACTGAGCCTGTCTATTATCTTTTGCATCTACCACAACATTCCTTTGGAATGTCAGGGCAATTCCCCTTCTCCCAGACCCCTCAGGGCATAACCAATACACCTGGGTGGAGACCATAAATCCTCATTGTTATCATGTTAATTGTTGACTGTTAACTATATCTCGTACCCACATACTGGAAAGATGTATGCATCATTTTACTTTTCATCCAATCCCAAAGGCCGGTCCCCCTCCCAACCCCCCATATTTGCTTTCTCCCACTTCCCTAATCTATCACCAATGGATTTCTTGTAACCCACTTACATCTTCTTTTTTTATTGTAATGTATAAAATAAGGTGCAAGCCCTGGCCGGTTTGGCTCAGCAGTGCAGAGAGGCTGGGTTTGGTTCCTGCTAAGGGCATGTACCTGGGTTGCAGTTTGTCCCCGGCCCTGGTTGGGTCGTGCAGGAGGCAGCCACTCAGATGTGTCCCTTTCACGTCGATATTTCTCTCTCTCTCTCTCTCTCTCTCTCTCTTCCTCTCTCCTTCCCACTCTATCTGAATAAAAAATGGAAAAATATCCTCGGGTGAGGATAAAAAAATAAGTAAAACAAATAAATATAAAATAAGGTGCAAAACTGCCACTCTCTGAGCATTATCTCAATCTGAAGAGATTTTGCTTCTCGGCCAACGTCAACTGTTTGGCTCAGATAAACTCACAAAAATTCTCTATAAATTTGAATGTTACTACTGTTAGCTCTTAACTTCCATATTCTTGCCCTAAACCTCTCATTCCAAGAAACCAAAACCCATCACTCTTATCTCACTCTTATCATTTAACCTTTCCCTAAACCTCTCATTCCAGGAAACTAAGACCCATCATTCCAGTCAGGAGGAATGGAATGATGGAACCACCCTAACCCACCCAAAACTGCAAAAGGTCACTCAACAAGAAAAACCAGTTTCAGGAGACCCCAGCCCCTAACCAATCAAGAACTGGGGAGACCCCCGGGGCCTGACCAATCAAAGATAACCACATTTCCTCAGCTGAATCCCCAGCCCTGAGTTTAAAAATCCCTAGTCTGTACAAGCCGGCTGCTACTCTCTCGTTAGAGGTAGTCCAGCAGGGTGATTCCCAATAAACCTGCACTTGTGGAGACTCTCCACTGACTTGTTCCGCCTCATTCTTACAATTACTTATGTTGACAATCTCATGGGATTGTGGTGAGAATACATAAAATTGGTACATGTGAAAATACTATTTAAAATGTAAAGGTATGACCACTACCACTACCACCATCATAGTAATTTCTAATCAAGTTGATTTTATAGGCTAGACTACTTCCAATTAGAAATGGCTCTTGTTATCAACCAAACTTTCTCTCATTCTTACTTATTATTGTTGTTTTTTATCCTCCCTCTAATCATTTTGATAATCTTGTGGCTTTCTCACTGCCACAGGCTTCAAAACACTGACAGTATCTTTTGGCGCTCAAGTAATTGGTATTCCATTCGCTAAATCATTCTTTATTAATAGATTCCTCCAATTTCCACAATCAACACTTTCTTACTGTATCCATACCACCTTTGGCCTACTAAGTGATTTTTATCCCAAGTCTCACAGAGAAATAGCTAATCATTTCCAGGTTAAAAACATTTTTGCAGAAATCTGAAATTAGTTAAGTCACTCACCCAGAGTCACACACTTCTTACAGAAAATATGGCCACAGCTGGTGACAAAGAAATGGGCTCCATCTTTTCGGAAACACTGGTTGCAATGAAACCAATCCATTCTGCAGCAGATAAAGAGAAAGAGTAAGGATAACCTGGGGCAGAATAGAATTATAGCTGTTCCAAAATCTACATAACAATGTTTGCTTTATGTCCTATTCTTACTGATATGTGGGCATATTATTGTGGGTATTCCAATTGGTTGTAAGTAAGTTGCATATAGCTCTGAAGTGAAAAAAGTAGACTGCAGACTATTAAACCGTTTTTTAAAAAGAAATATGTAGATTTAGAAAAATAATAGGACAACGATGAGATTCTTTCTGAAAGTTGTGATTATGGGTGTTTGTGTGTGTTACCTTTATACTTTTTTGTTTTTCACGTTTTCTGGATTAATTCATAATTAAATTTTTAATTACAAAAAAATAAAAAACAAAATATCCATTTCTTTCCTAATAGTTTTCTATGACACTGTGTGATGGAACCAGGAGCAGACTAAACACAGATCAGCCCTGGCTGGTTTGGCTCAGTGGTTAGAACTTTGGCCCACGGACCAATGAGTTGTGGGTTCAATTCTGATCAAGGGTTCATCCCCAGCCCTGGTAGGGGTCGTGCAGGAAGCAACCAGTGTGTGTGTGTGTGTGTGTGTGTGTGTGTGTGTGTGTGTAATCACATAGTGGCCACTTGGGACACATTTCAACTAAGGGAAACATGGTTTGTGAATGATAATGTTTTCTCAGCTTGTGCTCTTTCCCTTCTTCTCTACAGAAACTCAGAATCATAGATCTGGAAGGGGTCTTGAAAATCATTTAACATTTTGTCCAATACCATCATTTTTCAAAAGATGTACCCAATATTCACTAAAATTCAATGACTTGTCCAAAGTTCCACTTTATTTAGTGGCAGCTCTGTGATTAGAACCCAAGTCTTCTCATTCCCTGTGTCAAGTTCTTGCTATCACATTAATTAAGTCTTACTCATGTCTCAGCCAATTGCACATAATTTATTAAACACATAACTATGTAAATGTGACTTTGTAAGATTTTTAAACTAAGAAATTGACTGTTGCCCTGGCTGGTTTGGCTCAGCGGTTAGAGCATCGGCCTGCGGTGTGGAGAGACCCTGGTTCGGTTCCCGCTAAGGGCATGTACTACCTCGTTACAATTTGTCCCCAGCCCTGGTTGGGTCGTGTGGGTGGCAACCACTCCATGTGTCCCTTTCACGTTTATGTTTCTCTCTCTCTCCCTCCTACTCTAGCTGAACAAAATATTGAAAAATGTCCTCCGGTAAGGATAAAAAAAATTTAAAAATAAATAAATAAATAAATAGTTGCCCTGGAGAGCTTCCGCATGCGCTCCAAGGGTGGAGGGGTTCGATTCCCTGTCAAGGGAACCTACCTGGGTTGCCAAGTTCCATCCCCGACCCAATGTAAGTAGCATCAGTGTTTCCCCGTCCTCTTTCTCTCCTCCTCCCTCCCGCTTCCTCTCCCTCTCTCAAAAAAATAAAATAAAATAAATCCTTGGGTGAAGATTTTTTAAAAAGAAAGAAATTGACAGGTCAAAAATACAGAACTGAAAAAAAAATACAGAACTGTGCTAACACATACTGAGCTGTTATTACTTTATATATTTAATAAACTTATATACTTAATTTCGTGAATATGCTATTTGAGACTATAATACCAGCCCACGTGGCCCACGGGGCCTCCCAGCCCCAGCCGGCCCTGCCGGGGCTGCCGCCTCCACAGCCGCAGCCCCCAGCGCCGCAGCGGCGGTGCGCTCTCCTGCCCTGCAGGGCCGAGCCTGCCCAGGCTCCGAGAAAGACCTGGGCCTGCCACGCTGCCTGTGGATAATTCCACAGTAGTGGATCAGTGTGCCTTCAGGGGCATGGAAGAAACCAAGGAAAGGCCTAAATGGCAGCGCCAAAACAACTTCCCCGTGTTTCCGTCTCCTAAAGCCTGAAATTTCGGAGGGCAAAAACGGAAGCCGAGCGTCCAAGATGAAGCTGTTGGCCTCTAGCCTCAACATAAGTGAAGGAAGGCAAGGAGCCAAGATGCTGACCGACTTGGCCATCAGCTCTGAATTTTATTATCAATAGTCTTCAAATCTAGTATGGTCTAGAAGATCTGCTAATTACATACCCGTGTAAAAATGGTGCAAAGGCTGAGCTTTTTAGCAAATCTAGGCTTGAATCTTAGGTCCTGCCATTGTGACTTGGACGGAATTGTGGAGCCTGTCTGAGCCTTAGGTTCCTCATCTATGAAGGGGGTCTGAGCCCATAGGGCTGTCATGAGGATTAAAGATGATGCTTTAAATTTTTTTTTAAAGAATATAATATCTATTAGTTTGATTTCTTTGAAATTAAATTAGGAAAAGCATTTTTTAAAGGTTACCCCCTCCCCCACCACCGATCTTGTTTCTAAAAAATAAGTTTTAAAGTAGTTTATGGAGAGGTTTGCTAAAAGAATGATGGCTAGTTTGCACCACTCTTTCAATTTTTTTTCACATAAGGTAAGATTCACGATAAAAACTTTCTGAATCGCCCTGGCCGGTTTGGCTCAGCGGTTAGAGCGTTGACCTGCGGTCTGGAGAGACCCCGGGTTCGGTTCCCGCTGGGGGTGCGTACCTCGGTTGCAGTTTGTCCCCGGCCCTGATTGGGTCGTGTGGGTGGCGACCCCTCGGTGTCCCTTTCGCGTCGGTGTTTCTCTCTCTCTCTCTCTCCCTCCCACTCTATCTGAACAAAATATCAACAACAACAAAAAAATAAAAAACTTACTGAATTAATGCAATGGTATTACATGGTCAAAGCATTGAGCTTCAGGTTTCAATTTGTTGCTCACTATACACTAACTTCTACCAGGAAGTGAGTCTACAGAACCACTGAAAAGGCTCCACTATATATATGCCCTGGTTTGTTACACTTTAGAGGCAGCATCAATAATTTCAGTCAAATGAGTTGGCCGAATGAACCCCTATACCATGAGTTGGCCAGTTAACAGGGTTTGTGAAGGCAGGACTTGCCTGGTTTCTCGGGGTGATAGGGATTTGGCAAAGTCTTCAACTTACCAGTGGTTCTTTTACAGCTATCTTCCCTATCCAAGTGGCCGCCGTGATCCCAGACGACTGCGGATCTCGCCGAAATCATCCACTTCTCATCTAGTGCTGCAAATGGCGGGAAAATTTATAGCGAGCTTCGCAGCAGGGAGAGCTGGGCGCCGCCCGCTGCGACGTGCGCCTGGCGTGGGCGGGGCCCGGGCCGAGTGCTAAATGAGTGGGCGGGGCCGTGGGCACGGAGCAAGGGCGGGGCTCCCGGTGGCTGGCAGGAGGCAGGATGCTCTTAATTGTCCTTGGAAATCTACTGATCTACTGTTCAACACTGGGAACAAATAAGGAATATGACCTAATCCCATGCATGTTTCTGTGGAAACAAGATGGTGAAAATACAATAAACCTGATAGTGTTCCACCAGACGTTAACACACTAGAAAACTGTGGTCACAAAGCAGATGAAAACTTCAACCTAATATTTTTATTTTTATTATGTGGTGGTGTTTTTTTCTGTGCCTTTTTTCTGCTAATTTTTTCAAAGTAAACGCTTTGGGCACGGCAGGTTCAATCTGATATTTTAAAATGAAATAAAGAAAATAATAGATGTTCTGAAAGAACAGTATAAATCAGAATTAGAAAAGCTAAAAATTGATATGGATGGAGAACAGCCAGGTATCAAACAAGAACTAAGCAATCTCAGGGAAAAAATATAAACATTTTTCAGAAATAAAAAAGGAGGGTCCAGCCGGTGTAGCTCAGTGGATTGAACCTGGTCCCATGAACTGAGAGGTCCAGGTTGGATTCTCCCTCAGGGCATATGCCTGGGTTGCTGGCTCCATCCCTAGTGGGGGGCGTGCAGGAGGCATCTGATCAGTTTAAGTCTCACATGCATGTTTCTCTCTCTCCCTTACGCTCTCTAAAAAAAAAAGACAAGAAAAAGAAATGAAAAAGGAGGGAAAAGCACAATTAAGGGCTGAAAGAATTTTTTTTTTTAAGAAAAGGTTTTAAGAGAAAGTGATATATATACAAAACAACCAAGATATTTTTACAAACACACATACATACATATTTATTCCCCCAAGGAAAACCAGAGTGATGTATCAGAACAAATATTTAACACAAAAACTTGAGGGGGAGATGGGATCGGGAGATGTGTGGGGGGAGGAGAAACATCTGTAACACAAATAAATTAATAAACATTGCAAAAAAATATTTTTTTTTGAGAAAATTTTCCTGAAATAAAATAAGACGTAAGTCTACATATTGAAAGGGCATATTGTGTATACGAGAAAAACTGACCCAGGATAGTCAAAACCAAAAAAGCCTCTTTGAGCATTCAGGTAAAATGAAAGAAAATTATAATGAAAAGAAAATTAGATTGTCATCAGACTTCTCTACAGCAGCATTTTATGGTAAAAATAATAAAACAGCATTTTAAAATTTTAAAAAAGAAAACATGATCCAGGAATTTTATATTCCCTTATACTGTTTTCAGGTATAAAAGCCACTTATAAAATGTGAACATGAACATTTCCTGAGGAATTCACTAAGTAGTGGTTCTCAAACTTTTTGGTCTCAGAACTCCATTTTAAAAATTATTGAAGAGCCCTGGCCAGTTTGGCTCAGCAGTTGGAGCATCAGCCTGCAGTCCAGAGAGACCTGGGTTCGGTTCCCACTGAGGGCACGAACCTCGGTTGCAGTTTGTCTCTGGCCATGGTTGGTCATGTGGGTGGGTGGCAGCCACTCAATGTGTCCCTTTGACATTGATGTTTCCGTCTCTCTCTCCCTCCCACTCTATCTGAACAAAAAAATGGAAAAAAAATGTCCTCAGATTAAATAAATAAATAAAATAAAAATTATTGAAGAACACCCCCCCAAAGAGCTTTTGTTTATATGAATTGTATCTATCAATATTTACCATATTAGCAATTAAAACTGAAAATTTAAAGTATTTATTAATTAATCTGAAAACAATAATAAACCCATTAAATATTAATATAACCTATAAAAATAATTAATTTTCCAAAATAAAATAAATGTAGTGAGAAGAGTGTCATTGTTTTATAGTTTTATAATTTCTTACTGACTTAATAGAGATCATCTGGGTTCACACATCTCCTTCTGCATTGACTCTGTTGCAGTATGCTATTTTGGTTGAAGTAGGTGAAGATCAGGACTCACCAAAATATGTAGTTAGAAAGGAGTTAGTGTTTTAATAGCCTATTCAGATAATTGTGAACTTTTTTTAATCCTCACCCAAGGACATGTTTTTCATTGATTTTTTTTTTTTTTTTTTGGATGGAGCAAGCTCCTATTCCATCTCCCTGCTCCAAAAATCCATTTAATATATTGTCCTCGGATAGAGGACGTATCAGATATTAAACTGATAAGAACAGATACTACACTTGATCTTAGCCAAAAGGCCGAGAACCAATTTTCATTGATTTTTAGAGAGAGAGAAAGGGAGAGGGAGAGAGAGAAAGAATGAAACATTATTGTGAGAGAGAAACATTGATAGGTTGCTTCTGTATGTGCCCTGACCAGAGAGATCAAACCCAAAACCTGGATATGTACCCTGACCGGGAATTGAACCCCCAACCCTTCCGTGCATGGGACAATGCTCCAACCAGCTGAACTACACTGGCCAGGGCGTGAACATTTTTCTTTGATACTGTACCAAAATTCCAAAATTCCAAGAAGTGGGAGCTTTGTTAAAAGGTAGTTGCAATGTGGGATTCTGATCAATGAACATGTAACATCTTAGTTATATTTAGACCAAACTGGTCATTTGGAAAATATTAGTTCACTGAGTTATGCACATTGACACATTTCATTATACATTATTTAAAAATCACTCTTGTTAATATCACCACCTATCTCATCAGAAAAGTCTTTGAGTACTGAGAAGCTGTCAGGCGCACAGGTACACGTTTTCCAAATTTCTCATTTTCTTTTTCTTTTGAAAATTTATTTTATTTTTGTCCTTCTCACAACATAAAGGGACTCATCTCCTGCCATTGGGAAGGTAGAAAAAGCTGAGGACCAGAACCAGCACTTAATTATAAAAGAAGAAGAGCTCCAGACAAGGGTGAATTCTCAGTACTACCAGGTTTGTTATGCCAAGGTTGGAGCCCTGTTTGGGGAATAATAGAATCCTGAGGCATGGGATGGAGAATATGTAGGTGAATGCATTAAAAAACCTTTTTTTTAACCAAAATTTTAATTTTCATCTGAAAGCTTGAATTTTATCATTGAAAACAAATAGTGTTTCTTGTTTTCTTTGATGTGACAGGCTTATTTTTGCTTATTTATGAGAAAATATCTACCAAATACCCAAATCTGAATAACTATAATTTGTTTTGTAGTCGTTCTTTCAAGTAAAAATGGTGTTCCATTAAGAAAGTGATTAGCCCTGGCCAATTTGGCTCAGCGGTTAGAGCGTCGACCTGCGGTCCGGAGAGACCCGGGTTCAGTTCCCGCTAAGGGCACGTACTTCGGTTGCAGTTTGTCCCCGGCCCTGGTTGGTCGTGCGGGCGGCGGCCACTCAATGTGTCCCTTTCACCTCGATGTTTCTCTCTCTCTCTCTCTTCCCCTCTCTCTCTCCCACTCTATCTGTACAAAAGATGGAAGAATGTCCTCAGGTGAGGATTAAAAAAAAAAAGAAAGAAAGAAAGTGATTAGTTCAGCCCTGGCTGGTTTTGCTCAGTGGTAAGAGTCTCGGCCCTTGGACCGAATGGTCTCCAATTAGATTCCTGGTCAAGGGCAGAATGGATCTCTCGCCCCAGTCATGGTCGTGCAGGAGGCAACCAATTGATGTGTCGATGTGTCTCTCTCACATCAATGTCTCTCTCTCTCTCTCTCTCTCTTTCTCTCTCTCTCTTCCTTCCACTCTTTCTTTCTTTTTTTTTTAATCCTCACCCGAGGATATTTTTCCATTTTTTGTACAGATAGAGTGGGAGGGAGAGAGAGGAAGGGAGAGAGAGAGAGAAACATCGACGTGAAGGGACACATCGAGTGGCTGCCACCCGCACGACCAACCAGGGCCGGGGACAAACTGCAACCGAAGTACGTGCCCTTAGCGGGAACCGAACCCGGGTCTCTCCGGACCACAGGCCGACGCTCTAACCGCTGAGCCAAACTGGCCAGGGCCCTTCCACTCTTTCTAAAAAATCAGTGGAAAAAATATTCTCGGATGAGGATTAATAAAAATAAATAAATAAATAAATAAATAAATAAATAAATAAATAAATGTACACATTATAACCAAATGATGTTCAATACAGGAGTAAAAGAATGGTTCAAGATTAGAAAATGCATTAATATAATTTATTACAGTAATGTTTCTTTAAAAAATTGTTATGATTATCTCCACAATTTCCAAAAAGCATTTGTCATAATTGACATTCATTTTTTTTCTTTTTAAAAAAAAAAATATTTTTTTATTGATTTTAGAGAGACAGGAAAAGAGAGGGAGAGAGAGAGAAACATCAATTGGCTGCCTTTTGTGATTGAACCCACAACCTGGGTATATGCCCTGATCTGGAATTGAACTGGCAATCATTTGGTGCATGGGAGAATGCTCAACCACTGAGCCACACCAGCCAGTGCTCATATTCATTTCTGATTTAAAATTTCAATAAAGTAAGAATCAATGGATATTTCCTTAACATGATTAAAAGGTGTGTGTGTGTGCGTGTGTGTGTGTGTGTGTGAAAGCCAACATTTTTTCCATTTGACCCAGTGATCCCACTTCTAGGAATATACCCTAAGAAGCCTGAAATACTAATCAGAAAGAATATATGTACCCCCATGTTCACAGCAGCACTATTTACAATAGCTAAGATCTGGAAACAGCCCAAATGTCTATCAGTAGACGAATGGATCAAAAAGTAGTGGTACATATACACAATGGAGTACTATGCAACTGTAAGAAAGAAAGATCTCTTATCCTTTGAGACGACATGGAGGGACCTAGAAAGTATTATCCTAAGTGAACCAAGCCAAACAGAGAAGGACATGTATCATATGATCTCACTTATTTATGGAATATAATGAACATAACAGTCTGAGGGATAGGGTAGACCCAGAAACATGGAAGTAGGGTACAGACTGACAACC